TAACAAAGGGAAGCAAATAATCTGTCCCAGTAAAATCTCAGTTGAGTTAATCAACACATCTCGAGGGTCGATGGGCTGGGAGCAGAGATGTGGATGAGACTTCTTGGGGTAGCGGCTTACACTTCCCAGCAGAATTGCCAAATGTCCATGTCTTTCTGGGTCATGTGGATGAGCCCTCACGGCCGCTCCACAAGGACGACGTGCAGAGCCCACCTAGCTTTCTCAAGGGACAGGCACATGGAAGTCAAAATGTTCAGAATAATTCAAGTTCAAAAACAAATATAAAAGGGGTCGGCAGGGACCAGGTAGCAGGGCTCTGGGGACACAAGAAAGAGTCGGGTCTTTGTCTTGCAGGCAATGGTGACATGGCGAGACTGGCATTTAAAAAAAAAAAAATCCCAGGGTGCCTGGGGGTGCTCAGCCGGCTAAGCATCTGCCTTTGGCCCAGGTCATGATCTCAGAGTCATGGGATTGAGCTCCGCGGTTGGGCTCCCTGCTCAGCAGGGAGTCTGCCTCGCCCTCTCTCTCTGTCCCTCCCCCTGCTTGTGTTCTCTCTCTCACAAATAACTAAATAAGATCTTTAAAAAAATTTTTGTAATTTAAAAATTACAAATTAAAGAAAAAAAATCTGTCCATGTGGAGAATGAGTGGGGAGGGGGCAGAATGGAAGCAGAGCCCCGGCAACAGTGAAGGTGACTGGGGGTGATATCAAAAAGAGAAAGAAGGGGCTGGATTTGGGAAGTATGAGGGGAGACAGGAGGAGCTGATGGTTAATTATAAATGAGGGGGGTGGCAAGGGAGAGGAGAGTATGAGAAATATATAGCTTCATAAAAGAAGACGGCAGATTTCTTGGGCAAATAAAAACGTCTCAAGGTTGAAGGGCAACAGCCAAACCACTGGCAAGCCTCATGCTGCACATAGCAACTGAGAGCGTCCCGTGCAGTCCCGCATCTGTGACCAGGCTTCCCCAGGTCCAGTCCCCTGAAGAAATATAAGGTGCACTATCGGTTCTGGGTCTGGGTCTGGGTCTATTGTGATGTTTGGGTTTCATATCTCACATGGAGTTTCATATGCTTAGAGTTTTCTAGGAGTGGTGGTAAAATTGGATGCTTTGTCCCTCAGGGGAAGAGAGCTCAGCCCTCCCCGAAGAAGGCATGGGGCACGGCACACAGCCCACAGAGAAGGAGTGTGGAAGACCTTCACTCCCTCCCCCTGCTGAGGGGGGGGCGCCTTCCACCTAAAAATCTACCTCAAGCTATTTTGTATCTTGTAGATGGAGTTTTTGACATGGTACGCACCAGGAAAAATAGCAAAAAAGAAGAGTGGACAAAGGGGCTGGAAAAAGATGAAGACACAATTCTATAGCCTAGCAGCACTTGTGGCCACCCTCAAATCATTACGAATTCTGGTACCCGAGGCTGCCAACCTTGAGTCACAAGCACGAGGCCCCCGGAGGGACCCAAAGATGGTCTCTACGTTGTGAATCTGTTCTCTTGCAACTGCAAGTCCTCTCTGGTTATACCTGAGTTTCTAAGCTTGTCTAAAAGAGTTACTCAACCTTTACTTTTCAAATCAGTCCAACTTGGGAGCTATTACCAAAAAATGTACATCCCATAAGGTGCACTGTGGGCAGACAAAAATCCAAATCGCATTATTTCCTAACGGCTATATGTCTAGTCACCAAGGATTGCCTGATTGACCTGGGAGTACTGAACAGCCTCCCTGCGTGCCAGCAATCTCTGCTTTATTGAAGGGTGGGGTCACCTTTTACCAAGAAACACAATGGGGTTATAAAGCACTGCCCAGCGAGCCTGACAAAGCACCCGCACCTGCAAACTTTTTACCCTGGCCTGGAGATGATTTCCAATCCAGCTCAGCAACAGCTCTGCTAACCCGGGCAAGACGCCAGCAGGGTCTCGTTAGAACCATTCAACATGTTGCTGGCGTCTTCCGCTTCCTAAAAACAGAAGTCACTGCACACAAAAAAGAATTCAATGCTAAAGAAAAGTAAAAATAAAAATGAGGAGGTTTTTCTGCTTTGTTTTGTTTTGTTTTGTTTTGTTTTTTTCTGCCACCCTTCAAAGGAAAGCAGGCTTAGGCCTTTGGGCCGGCTCACCCAGGCCGTTTCATCATCCAGGAGAGACGGAACGTTAGAAGACAAGACTTAAGTGCTGAGACACCGTGCTCTTTTTTGGGGTCCCAGCACAACTAGCTAAATCGGAAAGTGCGTTCGGCTGTCAAGGACAAGACCAGGGCCCAGCCCACCAACAGCCACAAGCATGCACCCGTGTGTGTGTGTGTTTCTGCTGTGTAATTCGTGGCAAAAATAAAAGTCAACCACAGCAGCCACCAAATAAGAGTTCTCCTGTCACAGCGACTGTTTCGTTCACTTGCTGGATTCACTCACAGCAACCTCCACCTGGCCTGGAATGAGAATGTACTAGGCAGCTGGCCTCTGCTAGCTTAACTTACTAATTTTCAATCTATTTTCCTCGCTAGGAACCGAGAGACCATGTGAAAACCTGCTACCAACAAAACACTCATTTCAGTTCCCAATTTAAAATATTATCCACATATATGCTTATAAAAGCAGAATGAAAAACACCCAGAAGCTTCCTTCTTGGGGTCTGAAGACAAAACTGGGATGAACTCTGGGCTCAGAGATGCATGAACTGAAAGCAAGGAACGGTGTCATTTTTTATAAAATCAGGCATTTTTAAAAGGTCGAGAGAGAGAATCTCTCAAATTCCACCATGGCCTTGGGAGTCAGAATCCCTGTGTTCTCATCTCGGTCCACAAATCACAAAGGCCGGGGATGGCTAATTAATGGTCACGGCAGGAGTGGACATAAAAGCTCTAGGAAGGGTTTAAAAATCCGAGGCAGTGCTACTGTTCACAAAGATCACAAATTATCCCCTTCTTTAAAATACTTGCATGGATCTACTTGCTGTATTATTATGCACCTTTGTAAGGGCCACCAGCTAATTAGAGATATTCAAACTCCTTTTACTGACCTCATTATTATTTTTTTATTAGGCCAAGGAAGAGACTCAATTAATCCAGCAGGTGATTTTCTAACCAAACTGGGCATCCGGCTTCCGGCTTTGCCCCGGAAGTAAGGACTCATTAAATCAGCACCAACCCCCATAGCAGCAATCATACCAAAGGGCAAAGAACAATCAACCTGACAGAATTTACATGCCAAAGACTCAACCAGATGGTTTGTGTTTTGTTTTTTAAAGGTAAAGAAAGCTCTGCACTACTGTGACTTTTGTTCACCATTTTATACCAGGCTGAATTCACCTCATAATTGAAGGAGAGCTCCAAACCAACCAGCTCACTCGACAGAGCTGAATCTTAAGAAAAAGTGCCTGGAGGCTTGGCAAATATTTCCTTTCTTTTTTTTTTTAAAGGGCTCATTGGGCAAGGCTTTCCAGAGGCTGCCCACCAAAGACAGGAAGAGCGTTGAGAACCCAGGAGGGGTTGAAGCAGCTCCAGGCAATGATGACCTGAGTGCTGGTCACTCCCCAGGGGAGGTGAGAAGCCGACTGGCAGGCATGGGCTCCCATCCTTCCCTCACACAGCCTCTGCCACAGCCCTCAGCGTTCAAGGGAGTCCTTGCATATACCACCCTACTTCCCAAACTCCAAAACCCAGGGGAAGAGGGGGAGGAGGGACTAACATTTGTAGCATCTGAGGGTCTGGAAGTGAAGGCACCTGGACAGGAGGTTTGCGCTCCTAGTTCTGTGTGATCTCACTGGTTTTACCAGCATCAGAAGCCCTGACAGTCTACAAAATGGAGAAGAGTTTAATGAACCACAAGGTGCCCAGGGGCAAAGCCTGCTTCTGGATTCTGGGGCTGGTGTTGGAAGATGAGATCACTGCAAGGCCTCCACCATCCACTCGGAGCCATGGCCCAGTGGGATCTGGCTGAGATGAAATTCACTCTGGTCCCCCTCCTGCCTGAAATCCTCCAAGAGGTGGGGTTTACAGTGTGTGTGTGTGTCTGTGTGTGTAAAACAGTTGTGTACTTGACTGTCTCTCATACTTCAATTTAAAAAAAAAAAATTTTTTTAAACACACCCTCCAGCAGTTCGGGAATAAAACCCAATGTCCTTCCCATGGCCGGAGAAGTCCCCAGGACCCCACCCTTCATCCCTCTCTGACAGACCTTCGTGCCCCTCTCCCTAGGCTCACCTGCACTCTGCCACTCTGGACTTCCTTAGCCCTCCAAGCAGGTTCCTATGTGGGGATCCACACCAGGCCATCCCGGGGCTCCCCCTCACCCACCCACTTCAGAGGAAATACCACTCTTTCCAGAAGCTTCCAGAAGCCTCCCATCTGACTCTGGCCCCAGATATTCTCCCTTGTTCTCTTCTTTGCAGCATTTCTCACACATGCTAGTGCGGTAGTCATCTGTGGCCATAGGTGTTTACTATCTCCTTCCACAGAATTAGGGATGGGGCTTGTCCTGTTCCCCAACCTATTTCTAGCACTGTCTGGTCTGTGGAAGGTGCTCAACAATCTTGGTGGAATCAAACTGTGCCATCTGGGCCACAGGTGTCTGTGCCTCAGTTCCTTCATTTGCAAGAAGAGCTCCACCTTTGTGGCAGATTGTGCCACGGACCGGGTTCTGAGAGGACCCTCTCCTTGTTCCTGAGTTCAAAGAGTTAATTAACACTTTTGTCCATGGGACTGCTTACTGAAAGATGGAGAACCGCTAATCATGAGGGCGGAAGAAACCCATTTCATCTACTGGAGTCTCCTGGGAAGTCACTCTTGGCCTATTTTCTTGAGGCTGACCCATCAAAAGTTCCTTTATCTGGTCCTCAAAGGCCTTTATTCTTCAGCCCTGAAATCCGGGGGCTGGAACTTCACATTTTGAGATGGTTCCAAGACCTCCTCCCACTGACTATGTTATTTCAAATCACGTTTTACAAATTTTAGACCCCAGGGGGCTGCTGGTGTAGATAAAAAATGAGATGTCAAAACAGTTTACCTATGATGTTCACCGTACTATCCACTTCATTTTTTATAGCTGAAGTCAGGACGGCATACTCAGGAGAAAGATCACTTACTCCATTACTAAGCCCCAAAGATGACTCAACTGGTTCTTGCTAGGAAGAAGAAAAGAAAAAAGAATTGAGAACACTTCTTTCCCCCTCCTTTTTCTTAGCTTAAATTCTACCCTCTGTCTAATTATTATTATTATTTTTTTTTTTTTTTTTACTGCTACGGTCACGTTCATCCCCTGAATGCATTCCCTGATAATTTCAATCAGCCTGGAGCTAAAGCAGCACATTTCTGCACGGAATGTCCTGTAGGTATTTCCCTGCTTTCATTTTCCTTGGAGGAAATGGTAGGAGCACATCCGGTCGGCTTTTCTGAAAGGCTTACACCTATAGACAACAGTCTGGGGGTTCAGCAGGGCTATGCAACTATCTGTGGAAAGAACCCTGCGCCCAGCTTCCAGGTGGAGGGAGAGAGTGCTCAAAAGGGTTAACTCCTGGCTTTCTAAGGAAGAAAAGCTTCCGGAAGCTTCCTTTACAACTTCAGAGGAAAAGGTCTGCCTCCACCATTGCCAAGAGCAGGAAGCCGGGGAGACTTTGTGAATAACTTCTCCTCAGATAAGGTTTGCCCTGGACCCTGGCCACCTGAGCACTTGTCACTGAGGGGGTGGTCGGTAATGAGCCAGACTGCTCAGAAGGCCACCTCCCCCTGTGGAGTCTAGTTGGGCAACTCCAGAGCCATGGCATCCCGCAAATGCCTTTCAAGTGTCTGAATGTTCCAGACAGTCCGAGAGGCTATTCGTTCATACTAATGAAATGATGCAACAAGTTCCTCATCGTTAGTATAGCTCTCACTTCTGGTCAAGTGCCCTGGAACCCTCCCACCTCTGAGAGGGTTGGGGGACTTTGGGGGAGCCAGTCCTGAGGTACACATGGACTTTCAGGACGTTGACGAGAAGAGTTTTTCCTCATGGGAAGACTGCATCTGCATCTATGACAGCAATCGAGTCAGACAAAAAAAGCCACACAGGACAGCTCCTTGGGAAACCAAGATGGAGAACAAGAGCAGAAAGAACACAAGACTGGAGCAGAAGATCATCAGAGGTAGACATGCCTATGATTTGAAAAACCCAGAGAGGTGGGCATCTCTCAGGCATGCAGGGTGTTCTTACCATTTATGGGCTACCCGGAATCAGGGATGAGCCCCCAAAATCCTAGGGAAGCCACACAGGGAAGGAGAGGGAAAGCACCTCCTCCTTCATGATCCCCACCTGGCAAACTCCCATCATGAGAAAGAACTTCAACTTGGAAGACATCACTTCAGTATACAGCTCAGTCCTAAGAACTCTCCCACACGCACACTGACAAGAGGCACCAAAGGGCAGGGGAGGGGCCCAGGACCCAGGGCCGCCCCCCAACCCCACCCCCAGGTGGAGTCTTTGCTCCTTTCTCCTGCAGCACCTTGCATTTGCCCATTTTTCGAGGCCTTTCTGGGGAAAAGTCGCTTGCCTGGGACTTGAGTCTCCATCCTTTCTCCTCCTCCCTTATGCCCCTGCTAGAGCCTGTGGTGGGTGGAAGCCGCCCCTCTGGCCTCGGCCTCAAGCTCCAGGCTCCCGGGGGGCCGGTATGACAAGCTCATTGTCTGTCAGGCTTTGCTGTCATGCAGGGGTCAGAGCCTGGCTCCTCACCTCACGCTGGATGAGGGACCTGACTGAACCTTCTTGGAGCCTCTCCCGGGGCTGTGCAGACAGCAGGAACCTGAGGACAGAGAGGACTCCCCTCCCAGGGACCACGTGAAGATTGAGATAAACAGGCACCTGGCACTTACTATCAAGTTAACACTTTCCACTACCCAAGCATAAATAAATGAGGCTAATAAAACTGCTCTCAAGTACAGGGAACTGTCTTCCAGGTCTGTCACCCAACCCCACACACTGACATCCAACAGGGAGGAAGGACTGTGCTGTCCCTCTTGACAATGCAACTGTCCCATGTTACCGTAATTCTCCGCCTTCTCATGGCACCTGCCTCTCTCACTGCCTCCTCTGGGGCTCCTATTCCAGGCCTCCCCCCAATCCCCCCAGTCATGCCCCAGATTTCATTCTGCTACTTCCTTTTCCTTGATGGCCCCAAAGAAACCATGTACAGAACATCTAAAGGAATTGTCGAAAGACCCCCCTAATCTGTATGGGTTCCTTCTGTTGTCAAGTTATTTTTTTTTTTTAACTCATTCTGCTTTAGATTTCTGATAAAAGTCATGAGGCAGTCAGACTTGCATATATTTAAAAACCTAAATTACCTTGCTCTCAGCTGAAGGCTGCTGTTTCACATGATCTACCGTTTAATTAGTGGCAAGTGATACTTCTATCACTTTCCACTTGAGAAAACTATGACTCAGAGACTAAATTAATTTTCTAAGATCACACTACTTCTAGCCTAAGGAGATACAAGAACTGAGCTCGGTGTTCGGTCACGCGACATGAGCCCATTCCAGGAGTTTTCTGCCTTAATGAACCCCGCGTGCATCCCAACAGAAATTCAGACAGAACCATTTTCCATGTCGCTGTCCCCAACTCACCCCGACCTTGTGTCCTGCGCTACTTCTCTGATGGAACCCTACGCTCTACCACTGGAGACCGCATTGGACTATTTTGGACAAGGTTTTATTCCTCCCATCCTGCTTCAAAAAATGCCCTGTTGCTTCCAAAGTCTCCAGTGCAAACCATCTTGCGGGTTCTAGCACTCCGGAAGGACAGTAGTGAACTGTCCCATGAGGGGCAACAGCCAGCATCTCTCCGAAAGTTCTCCACTCAGGGTGCAAAACAAGGATCTTCACTGATCTCAGGCCTCAACTAGACACCTTTTTTTTTTTTTTTTAAGCAAGGAACTCAAAATTACGGGGCACACAGTTCTCTGTGGAATATGCACACGGAGGTCTCTGTCCCGTGTCTCCCGGTCCTGTATGGTGCCCGCTCCCGCTCTGTTCCTGCCTTGCCGTACCACGGCCTTGCCTGACCGACCCTCAGCCAGACGCCTTTCTGTTCCCTTTCTGGCTTTAGACATAGGCTCTCCTATGAATCAACTAGTTTTGGTTTCTAATCCACCCCAGAGAGAGCCAAACCGAGACCATGCGTAAGTTCAGACCCCTCCGTGGTGCGTTAACTCTGCCAAATCTTTATGCCCAAGAACCTTCCTTCTCCGTGTAGATCTAAACTTTGGCCTGCAGTTTAAGGGGTTTGGGGCAAAAGCAAACTGGCATGAGAGAGAGTCAGTCCAAGGGCAGGAGCTGCTCTCTTTAGACCTCTAACATCTCAAAAGCTGAGCTTGCTGGAGGGGGCTGGGGTGGGCCCGAGTCAGAGGAGAGCAAGGCCACTCAGCCTCCATTCCAAGTCCAGTCCATCTCATCCCTGGGCCACAGCCCCTTGTCTAGATGTCCCTTGCCTAGAGGCAAGATACAGTGGCCGTCTGAGCTTTTCTGTCTACAACCCAGTCCCCTGCTGCCAGAGATGCCCGAATTCATCTGTGCAAAGCCGGTCTCTCTGCAGCCCAATTGAAGGACATCTCTAGATCTTTCTACTAACTAAAATTTCAGGCTGCCCACTGGCCTTCATAAAAGTAGCCTGGGGGTGGGGCGCCTGGGTGGCTCAGTCGGTTGAGCATCTGACTCTTGATCTCAGCTCAGGTCTTGATCTCAGTGTTGGGAGTTCAAGCTCAGCATGGAGCCTACTTAAAAAAGTAAAAAGTGGCCTGGAGGGGTAGGGTGAGGGGTTTGTACACTCCTCACCATGGGGCCACTAGTAAGATAGGTTGACGCCTCCTACCCAGTCCTACGACATGTTCCTTCCTTCCTTCCCTTCTTTCCCTGGAACTAGACTGTCTTCATCTTCTTCCTACTCTCATTACAACCTCCCAAACCTCCCTTTAACTTCTCTCCTTGGCTCCCTTTCCTTTTTATCTTGTCCTTGGGGCTTGTGTTCTTCTCATCAGCTTCTCTTCTTCTTTTTCTACTGTCAAGGCCCCCAGTGTCATTCCTGAGCACCTGACCACACACCCACCGTCCCACACCTACCCGAACTCTGGGCCCGTTAGATCCCACTATCATCTCACACTCAACACGTTCCAAGTTAAACTCACGTCCTCCTCCACCAAACATGCTCCAGTCCCAACTTTCCCTTCTATAAGGCTTGAAACTTTGATCTGCTGCTGTCTACACCCTCTGTATCCTCTCCAACATCTCCCACTCTCCGAGGGCCCCCAACTTCATCTACACTTGCACTGCGCTCTCCTCCCCTCCATTCCTTCCCACCGCCATGAGAAAGACCTCCCCCCCCCCTTTAAATATCAACTCCACTGTGCACTGCTCTTACCCAAAGAACTCAACCAAGCCTCGTTTCACATCATCCCCCAAGGTTACTCAGCCACAGAGCCTCCAGACTGAGCTCTGAGCGGTACCCCCAAGAGCCACCAAGAGCGGAAGGAGGCAGCAGCCCCAAGCAGGCGGGCCCTCTCTCCTGCTCCATCCAGGGCAGCTCTGCGTCTGCTTGTGTTTCAAGTGGGCTGCCAGTCTGTGTTTTCATTTGATTAAGGTCTGAAAACTGAAGACCTCTTTCAACCAATGATGGGATCGCTCTAGTACCAGCCCTGAGAGGTGGTCTCTGGATAGTGACGGGGAGCATGTTGCTTTTAATCCAGCTCAAGGTCACCGTTAGAGTCAACAGCTTGATTAGAAAGTCCTGCTAAAAGCCAGGTCCTGCTTTTCTGTAACTTCTACCCAGAGGTCTAGGATCAGAACTAATACAGACTGGGCCTGCTCTCCCAGGTGACTTGAGACACCCTCCTAGAATACAGTTCCCATCACAGCACCAATGCTTTGATCTGGAAGCACGTTACAGGTACAAAGTATGCATGTTTCACTGTCAATCCTAGGAGGCAGGAACTATTCATTTCTAACCCTCCCCACCCACAGTCTTTTGTTTCCCACTGTTGCCTCACACCAAATCCTGCTCTAATTAAGCCAGTTTCCTGACTCATCCCAGGAAGACCAAACAGCAACTCTGACTTCCCGGCCTTTACGTCATGCTCCTGGTGCTGGGCACTGACCGCCATGTTACTCCATCCATGCCCGAAAGCCTGGCTCAGGTCCCACCACTTCCAAAAGGCCGAGAGGCACCAGGTGTGGTGAAAGAGTGTGGGATTTGGAGCTGGACTGACCTGGATTTAAATCCCAGCAGTGCTACCTTGGAGAAAAATTACTCAACCTCCCTGTGCCTCCAATTCCTCATATGCAAACAGGAGATGACCCGCCCATCCCAGGAAGAGCGAGATGACATATTAATTAGAGCTCAGAACTTGGTAGGGGCTCAAAAATGTCAGCTACCACTCCTCTGTTTATCCCCTTCTCTCTTTACTGATCTTGGCCTCTGTGACCTTTTTTTTGAAACACACACAGTATGGGACTGTCCACTCTCCTGGGTCTTAAGTCTTATTTCCTTAGATGGGCAGTTACCTCCACAAAGGCAAGGCCCGGCTCAAGTAAAACACAGCGCACTGAGTTCAGAGCATATATATTCACAACAGAGAACACTGAGGAATATTGAGGCAGAGTTTCTGCGCCTACTACATGGCCGGTAGGCCTCGGTTTCCCAGTCTCGGGGGAAGCGATTTGCTGAGGGAACTTATAGCATGGAGATAAACTGCCTGAGTGACCTCAGAAAAATTCTGACACTTAGCCCACAGGTTCTAAACCTCATTTGCTAGTTAAAACTTCAACTCGAACTGAATGAAGATTGGGAGGAGTTTGTTGCAATAGCAAATTTTCCCACCTGGTTCCTACACAGAAGACCAACGTTCTCAGTGGGAGAAGCCTATCTAGTCGCCCCTGTCACACACTGGCATGGGACCTATTAACTCAGAGCTTGGGCACTGTGACAACAAAAAGTAATGTATTAATAGCTCAGTAAGGATAAAGTCCTTCAACTGTACAATTCCAGACAAGTTGGAGAGATCCCCTGGGAAACGTTCTACCGAAACATTTTGTGAACGCAAAGGCATTCGCTGTCGGGAGCCACAGAGCTTGGGAAGGCTACTGGCCTTATCTACGTTCAGAGGCCACACTGTGGGACAGATACAAGCAGATTTAAAGTCAGAAGTGAGGCTGTGCTTCTTTCTGATGAACCGCCTGCCTTCTGCTTAAGGGACAATGTCCCTCTGAGAGACAAGTCTCAGGTATTAACCACATTGTTGTCACCGGAGGATTTCACAGTATACACTTTGCTGGGGGCTCTCACTTGCTTCCCTGGGCCACCGTGGCCAAGCCTCACCGGGGATGTCCCTTCCACCCCTTGCTCAACTGTGCGGCCATAGGGAAGACACCGCCACATCCCGTGCTTATGAGAACAGCTTGTGTCATCAACTAGAAGAGGCGCATCTTCTCGGATGTCCCCAGCCCTGAAACAGAATGTGCCTTGTCATCAAGTGTGGGCCATGGTCTCACCGCAAGCATTTTCTTGCTCAGACAGACCTAAACTGATGGTGTTCTCTTACTGAGGGATCTGATATTCGATGGGGCATGGAAGGCATGTTTGAGCAAGGTTTGCTGATGGCGAAGGTCGGTTACTCCCTTCTCATTGTCTATTAACTGAGATGAGGAAATTAAATCTGTGCTGCGATGTAACACCCCACTCCGACCTCATGCGTTATCTCTATTTATGCATCTACTTAGTGATCGAATATGTACTGATTATCCGTTCTGTACCAGGCACTGAGCTAGATGCTATGAAAATAGTAGTAAATACTACACAGTCATACTCAAGATTGCAGCAAAGTCTTCCAAGTCACCTATTTATGGGGAAGTCATACTTTTCTGACTAAACAATACTCATTAAAGTGTAGGGCCCCGCAAAAAATCCCAACTCTGGGAAACCTGATACAAATAATAACTAGTGGGTTTTTTTTTTCCAATTGCAAGGAAAAATTAATTTTTAAAAAGATTTTATTTATTTGACAGAGAGACAGCACAAGTAGGCAGAGTGGCAGGGAGAGGGAGAGGGAAAAGCAGCTCTCCGCTAAGCAGGGAGCCTGATGTGGGGCTCGATCCCAGGACCCTGGGATCAAGGCCCGTGTTGGGCTCCCTGCTGAGTGGGAAGCCTGCTTCTCTTTCTCCCACTCCCCCTGTTTGTGTTCCCCTTCTTGCTATGTCTTTGTAAAATAATTAAATAAAAAATCTCTTTAAAAAATTAATAAATAAATAAAAAGTGATGTTAAAGGAGACCTACAGATTAAGAGAAAACTTAAGAGGGGCACCTGGAGGGGCTCAGTCAGTTAAGCATCTGCCTTCAGCTCAGGTTGTGATTCCAGGGTCCTGGGATCGAGTTCCACATCGGGGTCCCTGCTCGGTGGGGAGTCTGCTTCTCCCTCTGCCTCTGCCTCCCTTTCTCTGTCTGTCTCTCATGAATAAATAAAATCTTTTTAAAAAAAATTAAAATAAAATAAAACGTAAGAGATACAATGTGTGAACCTTACATGGATTTTAATTCCAGTAAATAGACTCTATAAATATGACATCATTTATGAGACAACTGGAAATCTGAACACTATTTCTTACAATATTTGACAAGACTGAGGAATTACTGTTAATTCTTCAGCTGCAATAATGCTACTGTGTTATTTTTAGAGTGTCCATATTCTGAAAGTAATTGAACCAGTAATTGGGGGAAAATATCATATAATATGGGATCTGCTTCAGAGTAGTGCGCTGAACCATACGAAATGGTTTGAGTCAAAAATGGCTGAATATTGGCCACTCTCATGGGCTGGAGGGACGTGGATGGCAGCACCCACTCCCGAAACAAAAAAGTCCCGAGCTATTAATTGGGGTGATGGAAATTGGAGTGATGGCCACAGGGCAAATTCTCCTCAGTTGTCTCCTTCTTGTGCGTATAAAATTTTTCCACAACAAAAAAGTTAAAACAAAATTAGGCCTCAGTACTGTGCTGTATTTAAAATAAGTCGCAAACTAAAAATATTTAGGATGTAACTGGACATGTCACTTCTGAAATATTCTGCTGAAAGTATTTGTTTTCCACTCTGACGGGAAGATGAGCATTTCTGAAACTTTAACAGTCTATCTCAGCTGCCCCTCAAATTCTATCCACCTTCACAAGTCTCCCTTTATCTCAGAAGTAAATACTGTTGTGTTTTGTCTACTGGGACTAACTGGCTTGTTTTTAAATACGGTGCTGTCTGGATAGTTGGGGTTATTCCTCCAACAGCGATTCTGGCTTAGGAATCGGAATAGTTGGCATTGGGCTCCTGGGTGGCTCAGTGGGTTAAGCCTCTGTCTTTGGCTCAGGTCATGATCTCAGGGTCCTGGGATTGAGCTCCGCATTGGGCTCTCTGCTCAGCAGGGAGCCTGCTTCCCCCCCTCTCTCTGCCTGCCTCTCTGCCTACTTGTGATCTTTCTCTGTGTGTCAAATAAACAAATAAAGTCCTTTAAAAAAAATTTTTTTTTAAAAAAGAATAGTTGGCATCACCTTTAAGTTCAGTTCTAAAGGACCATGCCACTTTGGCCACGTGTGCCACCGCCCTTGGACCCATGTCACTCAACTCCCTCGAACCTCAGTTTCTCCATCTGCAAACCGAGTGTCGTGAGCCTTAAGACAATCTGACGATCTTCTCTCTGACGGTCTGTAGGGCTGGGAGTGTAGTGTCTGCTCTCCTCTCAGCCATCCTCAATTTGGCACAGGTATCTGGCTATTCTCTGACTGTTTAACAAGGCCATGCCACGTAGGCACAAAGACCCTCACACTGCAGGGGGTTCCAGACCACACAGTCTACTGAAAGGCTTGCACGTGTGCGCGTGTGCGCACACACACACACACACACACACACACACACATCCGTATGGAAAGGCTTGGGGAGTCGTGAGAGTTAGTTCTGAGATGGGGCAGAGAGAGACTAGTGAGAACCACATGGACAAGGTGTTGTTCGAACAGAACTCTGTGCCCCCAACCTTAGGGCCTGTCATGGAATATAAGCAAAACACGGAGATGATACATTTTAACATAAGTATATAATACTTAATAGACTTTAAGGTCTATTTACGAGCCTGAAAATATGATATCATCAGATTGTAGCTGGTTGCTGGAGCTCAGCTAGAACTAAGGGACCAGCTGGCAACAGTCGTGGGGATCAGATGGAGGCTGGAGTCCAGCTCAGTGTGAATTTGCGACTTCATTCATAAACTGCTCAGTGACACTGGATTAAGCAGGGGGTACAGGTACCAGAGTCTGTGCTAGGGGATAAGCCAAAGAGGAGACATGAAAAGCACATACAACACAGGAGCCAAAGAAGAAAGATGAAATACTTCACAGTGATCACGTTGCTTGTTTTTATGAGACAGAATAGGAATCATTAATATGGTCAAACTTTGGCTTTCTCTCTGAACAATAAAGATTACCTTGATGTGCTTAACTCTGTCTTCTTTTTCTGTCTTTGGTTTCTTTCCTGTGGCAACAAGAAACAGTCTGGGGTTAATTCATGAGGAACATACAGAGAACAGTTTCCCCTCAATTCTTTCTGGAACTTTCAATGAACCTGTACGTGCTTTCACCCACACACGGCCAAGTTTCTCTGACTACCTTCAGCAACCTGATGGTCACTTCCCCCAGCCAGGCAAGGGGAGGACTATTACCCACAGTGTGAACAACTGTTCTCCCCTCGGAGTGACCACAGATGTGGAAATAAAGAAACCACAGAGATACTACAATATATATGACGTGACCATTGTTTTAGTTAGTAAATATCTACCTTTCTTCGAAGGTCGCTCAGATAAGGGCAACATCCGGTATACTCTGAATGCATTGTTTCCCTTCTTTATACTTTTATCCTTGACTTCTTCAATGTCAGGCAAGGAGTTCATGGCACATCGAAAATTCGCCTTCCATGTTTTGGGATCAGGTTTATCTACTCCAGGCTGATGCTTTCCTAACAAAAGAGCCAAAAGAATGAAGGTTAAGAAAAAGAGCAGGGAAAAATAGAGCGTAGAAGTTTCTGGAAACATATAGGCTTGCTGGCCAGATAGTGCACACATCCCTTTTTAATTCCAGGCTACTACAGTGACCAGCCATGCTGCTTTGTCTGGGACCGAGACCGAATTCCTGGGATGTGAGAATTTTTGTTTTAAAACCTAGACAGTTCTGGGCAAACTAGGACAAACCGGTCACCCCACCTCTACCTAACAGCTTGAGAAAAAAACTAGTATTGGTAGAATGGAGAGTCAAGGTAAGTAACAGAGAAAGCTGGCAGACTGGGGAGGTCTTCAAGCCCAGGTAACTAGAGTGTCCCTTTTTCATCAAACTCTCAAATATTAGTAAAAAGTCTAATTCCTGTAAATAGCATTCCATCCTTAAATTCTGTTATAAATAAATATATTCTTGACTACATTTTGGAGAGAGAAATTCAAACCAAGTTTACCACTCCAGAACAAATAAGTTTATGGGGAACATGATCAGAACCCCACATTCACAGGAAATTTAAGGACTAAGTGTCACTTCTGAGCAAAGCATCCCTTCGGAGTGAGGAAGTTCATGCCCCCCCGTGTCCTGGCTGTGCCTGGGGACACGCCACAGGTTTTTCAGAGCTGTCTTCACGAGGCCATAAGCCTTATGTGTATAGTAAAAAAGAAAATATTTTCAATGGTTAACACTATACTGTGTAATCGAAATTTGCTAAGAGAGTAGAACATCAACGTTCTCACCAAAGCCAAAAATAATAAAAGGTAAATATGAGAGGTGATAGACGTGTTAATTAATTTGATGAGGAGAATCTTGTCATAGTGTAGACGTCAAATCATCACGTGGTATACTTTAACTATCTTACAATTTTATTTGTCCATTATATCTCCAAAAAGAAAAAAAAAAAAAAAAAAAGACACTGGGGCGCCCGGGTGGCTCAGTCAGTTAAGCGTCTGCCTGCAGCTCAGGTCATGATCCTGGGGTCCTGGGATCGAGTCCTGCGCCAAGCTCCCTGCTTTATCGTGGAGTCTGCTTCTCCTTCTCCTGCCCCTCCCACCACCCATTTGTTCTCACGCTCTCTCTAATAAATAAAATCTTTAAAAGAAAAAAAAAAAAGAAGGCATGAAATCAACAATAAACAATCTGCTTCTGTGCCCCCATGCGGGGGCTTTAATACCTGTGTGGATTGCCCAGTTTCGAAAGAGGGGCGCATCTTTTTCAACATCCCACCCATGTCTAGCCGCGTGCATCCAAGGGATCTGGAAAATCTTCTTTTCCTAAAAAAAAAAAAAAGAAAAAAAGGAAAAAAAAAAAAAAAAAAACAACCCCACAGCCATGGGGTTCAGGCCACCTTCACAGAAGTTTCTTACATCCTAACCAGTAAGATGCTCTCCTACGTGACACTGGGTTTGCGAGGCATCTACAGTAAAATCCACTAGGAACCAAACCCACCTCCCCCACTGGGCTCCAGATCTCGACAGCCCATTCAGAAGAGATTCAGAGTCCTGTGGAGTCTGGCAGAATAGGAATGCATTCCAAGGTCAGAGGTGTTGATTTTGGGATATGCCAATGTGTTCTGCTATCTGTGCCATTTTTTCTTAAAGGACCACAGGGAACTGGCCACTGACTGAAACCTCTAATGCTTATTGTTATCGTTGGTTTCCATCATTTGCTTGAGAGGAACTCCAGTTGCCTTAGGTAAATTAAAACTTGGGCAACTTTCCAAAATTACACCCATTTGTGCTCCTAAAGGGAAATCGGGGTTATCCGAGGTCACTGCCACAGAGATCAAACACCTCAATCTGCTGTACAGCCAACAGAAAAAGACTGGGTCTACTGCCCTGCATGAAACAGCAAGAAATGCAAATAAAGATGTATTAAATGTTTGGAGATATTACTTTTTTAGAGAAAAGTCCCTTGGTTCAATTTCTACAACAGACCATTTTCCATCTTTTTTACTGCTCAAGAGGTAACTCAAAATAGCTTACATGAGCCCTGGCCTTTAAACACAGGATTAGAAACCAGTGCTTTGGAAACAAAGTCACACTCAAGTGCAACTTCTTCAACCAGCTCTCTCCCACCAGTCTCAGCAGTTAGTGATTTCCCACAGCACTTTACATGTGACCGCCCATGTGTTCACGTGGTCTCGGTTTCGTTTTTTGCAAGAATCTACAGAGTTCCATGGACGTCATTATCTCTGCCCTACAGGTGAGGAAACTGAGGAACAGAACTAGATTCTATGGCCAAGGAAATGATGGTAGCAAGCATCTGAATTCAAAACCAGGCTACATGATCCCATCCATATTCAATCACTGTATCACACCACACATTGTCTCCCAGTGGTCAGACTGAGGTTTCCCATCTTATGATACATCCGTTGTCTTGACTTCTGTGGAAACCAAGCCCAGGAAAACTGTCCATTTTTAAGCCCTAAAGGTAGTTCAGGTAGTTTCTAGGTATGGGGATCTGGGGAAGGAAAGAAAATGTCAGTAGGGATTTTCCACCACTTTGGTCTCTCACACAACGAAAGATAGAAACCATCCCAACTGACCCCAAAGGGACTTGATGCCTCTACAGAAGCCTGAACTAAAAATATTTCAGAATATTTGAGAGTTCCCCAAAAACAGTTTAAAGGGAACATTCTACTGTATTTAAAACTCAGTTAATAAAGAACTGAAAGCAAGAGACTTTTCATAAACCCCTCCTCATTCGGTCTGCCTCACCCACCGAGATAGCGTGGTTTCAGGTTAGCCATTTCCAAAGAGCAGTGATCAGTCAACGGCTGAGGGAAATTTTATTTTTTAACGCAGATGAAAATCAGAGCGCAAAATCATTTAAGGCAGTTTTTGATGTTCACGTGAAAATGAAAAAAATAAATTTATTTCGGTGAAAGAAACTTCTCCCGAAAGAGCGACCAGATCTAAAGGTTTACACTTAAACAGGCAGACCCTTTATAGAACCTGCTGTTGCACATTTCTGTAAGTCAGGGGAGTTCAGAGGGGACACAATCTAAAGTCTAGCTCATGAAACACAAAGTTGATGCTGGTAAGTAGGTCTTTTTAAGCATTTGCACGTGTGCTATTACATGCACACACGCAATGATCTCACACATGCACCAACCAAATCAAGTCTCACAGAAACTGTGCCCAAATCACGAACCCACAAACAGAGCGGCTAAACCTAGCAATTATCCACCATGCATCCACGGATTATCTTTCCTGGGCAAAAGGTCTGAGAGGACCTTTCTCGAAAGACGATAACTAAATGGCCAATAAGCACATGAAGACACCCAACATTGCGAAGCATCAGGCGAGTGCCAATCAAAACAACAATGAGATACCATTTCCTACCCCCAGGGTGGCTAGATTAAATTATTTAAATAATTAAATAATAAGTTGGCGGTAAGGATGTGGAGAAACTGGAGCCTCCCTACATTGGTGGTGGGAATGTCGCCCAGCATAGACACTGTGGAAACCAATTTGGCTATTCTTCAAAAAGTTACACACAGAATGCCCACATGACCCAGTAATTTCACTCAAAGACTTATAAACAGGGATTGAAACAAGTATTTATACATGAATGTTCAAAACAGCACGACTCACACTAGCCAAATGTCTACCAACGGATGAATGGATAAAGGAAATGTTGTACATGCATAAAATGGAGTATTATTCAGTCACAAAAAGGAATGCAGTATTAACAGGGGCCACAACACGAATGAACCTTGAACGTCACGTTCAGTGAAAGAAGCTTTCTACAAAAGGCCACATCGTGAACGGTTCCACTTAAATCCAAAGGGGCAGAAAGCAGATTAGTGAACGCCTTTGCACAAGGAAAGGATGTGAAATGCTTTGCAATGGAAAGTGACTGCTTAATGGCCAAGTGTTTCCTTTCAGGGTGATGACAGTACTGGGATTATAGTGATGATGACCGTAGACAACATTGTGAGCAGAAAAATCCACCAAATTGCACATTCAAAAATAGATAAGTGGTGAATTAAACAGAAACCATGTGTAACTTTTTTTGGGGGGGGGGGTTATAATAGAATTTATTTTTCGTCCTTATCTTTTTTTTAAATTTTATTTTATTTCTTTTCAGTGTTCCAAGATTCATTGTTTATGCACCACACCCAGTGCTCCATGCAATATGTGCCCTCCTTAATAAGTGTAACTTTTAACTAGTTTTTCATATTGCAAAAAATAAACTGCTACTAAACATATCACATCTCTCTCTCTCTCTCTTTTTTTTTTTTTTTTTTTAAGATGGTGCTGAAAGACAAAGTAGGTAAAACTGGAAGAGATTCTGAGCAGCAAACATTCTGGTCTTCGATCAGTGTGTACTATAGGATGGTGACGGCGTTGCTCTGTGTCTGTGTGGACCCCGGGCCATCAGTCTGTGCTACCAGAAGCCCTGGGTGCCCCATTCACAGAGGCTGTTCACACCGTGTTTGGAGGGACAGCATGTTCTAGACTCAACCTATGTTTATAGAGAGAGAATTGTGCCTACCTGAGGGAAGGAGAGAGAAGCAATGCTTGAGTTGACAAGAACATTTACGATTATCTTGAGGAATGCAGAACACACCTTGGCCCTAAGTGGCAACTAGCTCTCTTCATTTCCTCTGCTCTTCTCTCCCCCAGTATTTAGAAGATGTTCCAATTTACTCTGCTGTTTTTGCTGGGGCTCCTCACCTTGTTCTGAGATGACCTAACATTTAGACAAGCACGAGCCTGCTTTCAAAGTGAACAGAAGGATAAGGTCTGAAACTACCTGGTGACACCACAGGCCTGGGGAGTGGCCTCGGCTGCCGGGTTCCAGGCTGATCTCCCACATGCAATGAGCACGTCAATAACCAGGGTGGAAATCGATCAGAGCTCCAAGAGAAACAATGAACCTGGTTGTGGCTGCCTCCTTCATTCCTCAAGAAAAGGCCCAGAGAAATCACAAGCAAGCATTTGCACCAACCCAGCAAGGACCTGGTCTCTTCGACAAGTCAAAGGCAAGAAGGGGGGAAAAAAAAGGAGGGGCTACTGTTCATAATCAAGGACAATCAGGAAACACTCCAAGTCTGAACAGCCTTCTCTGGATTCTGACTGAACAGATCAATTGTAAAAAACACATTCTGGGGAACACAAACACATACTCAGCATAATATGGATGTGCGGTGATGATATTAAAAGTTATGATTAATGAGGAGTCATCTATGGTTAGTCGATTGATAATGGTATTGTGAATATATAGAAAATGGCCTTAAGTCTTATAGACAGACATATGCTGTCACAGAGCTGCTTTCAAATGCCCCCGCCCACATGAATATTCTAAATGTCAATAATCTTTAAATCTGGATGTGAATTTTGAAACCACATGAGAATTCGCTACACTATTCTTTCTAGTCATTAGACAGTTCAAACCTGCCATGTATGTTTATAAATACTCATAATAAGAAGTAACGGGCCCAAGCCAAGGCCTTCTGCATGAGCTTGTGCTAATGCATCTTCGCCAAACTTCCTCACTGCTCCCTCAGAGGACATGTGCCATCACCGTCCTCCTCAGCATGCAGATGGGAGACCAATTTAAGGCATTTATTAACACCTATTTGTCTCTTACTAAGAATGTCCCAAATATAATGGACTCTCCACTTGACAGAAACATGCCAACTGCCAACCCAATGTTCTTAAGTCCAATTATCTTCACAGAACAAAGACATGGTCACCAATGTTGCTCCTCTTCAAGTACACATCGTTCTCCCATTTACTCATGGAACAGTGCTCACCCAGAACTTCCTCAGGTGGCCTAGCACCGAGCCAGCGAGCAGCAACATTCAAGACAGGCCTGGCCCGCCCGCCGGGGCCATCCAGCACGGAGTAGTTCACCCCCAACACCAGCACATTCTGTACAAGGCAGCTGAGGCGTTAAGTGAGTAACAAAGACCAACAGTGATTTCTGTGTTATAACCAGTCTTCAGTGGGAGAAGAGATTTTACAAAGACCTCAAACCACTCAACACACAATCGGGGATTCTTAGGCAGAATGCTTCTGAATAAGAAGGAAATAATAGGGGGCACCTGGGTGGCTCAGTCAGCTAAGTGTCTGCTTTCAGCTCAGGTCATGATCCCGGGGTCCTGGGATGGAGCCCCACATGGGGCTCCCTGCTCAGCGGGGAGTCTGCTTCTCCTTCTCCCTCTACCCCCCCGGCCACTCTCTCCCATATAAATAAATAAAATCTTAAAAAGAAAAAGAAGAAGAAGGAAATAACAGTAAGGTTTCCAGTGAAATCTTTACATGGGCAGAAGAATGCCAAAGCCAAAGTTAATAGAAACCTATAAAAAGATGGCCTGAGGAGGTGTCGGTATGGAGAGAGAACATCCACAGTGACTGGGACAGCCCTGCCTGCACGTGCAGACACAGCCACAGGCACATTCCGCCCAGGCCCGTGCACGGCCTGCCTGACCGGTCCCCCGGCGCCCCAGCCCCCCGGCCTCATGAGATGCGTCATCTGCTGAAGCCAAGGTCCGCTCACGTTGAGGCCAGACCAGGTAGGTCAGGGGTCTCCTTTCCCCCACCGCTAGAAGAGACCTCACAAGCCAGGGGCCCGGAGGGCCACCTATGAGGGCCCAAGTGTTCCCACGCCCTTTCCAGTCGTCTATCAGGAAAACAGGGACAGAGTAGACGGATGAAAAGGTGTCTTAATGGAGAGTCCCAGTGAGGAAGCAACCGTAAGAGGGTGCATTCGTTTCCCAGAGCTCTCCTAACAACTGCCACAAAGCGGGCAGCTTACACCACAGGAATCCATCCTACCACAGGTGTGGAGGCCAGAAATTTAGAAGCAAGATGTCAGCAGGGCCACATTCCCCTCACAGGCTGCAAAGACAATCTTTGCTGGACGCTTCCGGCTTCCGGTGGTCCCAGACATTCCTTGGCTCATGGCTGCATCTCCGTAATCTCAACATCTGTCTTCACAGGGCCTTCTGCTCTTCTGTCTTACGTGGACACTCGTCACTGGACTGGCCCAGCTAGATACTATGGGGTAATCCTGAGATCCTTCATCTTTTCCAAAGAGCCTTTTTCCAAGTCAGCTCACATCCACAGTTTCCGGGGCCTAGGGTGTGGATATATTGTTTGTGGAGAGAGGGGGTGGGAGGCACAATTCAACCTACTAGAAGGACAGTTAACTACACCGTATCAAGTGCCTTCTCGTGCAGGGGACGCGATAACACAGTAAGTTTGCCCCTGCATCAAGGCAGCCAAAATTGGTGGATGTATTTTTTAGAAAGAAAAAAAAAATTACTTCTCTTCAGAAACCAGGAACTTCTGTTTCAATGCCACACTCTAAATCAATATAGGCGATGCCATTTTGTTCTTTAAACATAATCCTACTTGGGGCGCCTGGGTGGCTCAGTGGGTTAAAAGCCTCTGCCTTCAGCTCAGGTCATGATGTCAGGGTCCTGGGATCGAGCCCCGCATCGGACTCTCTGGAGCCTGCTTCCCCCCTCTCTCTCTCTCTCTGCCTGCCTCTCTGCCTACTTGTGATCTCTCTCTCTGTCAAATAAATAAATAAAATCTTTAAAAATATATATATAATCCTACTTAATGTCTCTGTGTCTTGGCTTCCTTGTCTATAAAATGGAAAACATCACAGCATCTCCCCCATTGTGGGGATTATGTGAGTCAACGCACGTGTCTCACTTAAGAGGAGCACCTGGCACTTCATAAGCATTAATTTTTATGATTATTATCATTATCGAGTACCCTATGTTTCTTTAATTCTCCTTGACGACAGTCTCCCCTCCCCTTCCTTGTACCACCACCTGTGGCCTGCTAACCAAGTAGGCCAAGACCCGACCTGACTTCTTGTTTGTGTCTTTGGAGCAGGCTAATTACTAAACCCCTCCAGGATACAAATCAGAAGCGCCATGGATATAGCTTGCCTAGAAAAAGAAACTATTTGCCGAGAGACCTTAAGATAAGGGACCAGTTCCCATGGAGCGACCATATGGTTTACTTATTTCCATTCACTTGTTACCCCCACCTTGTTTCAGAAAAGGACCCACTGAAACCGATGCACTCAAATACAATACCATTACAGTTAAAATAAGTGAAAAAAAAAATAAGTGGGTGAGGGAAAAAGAGATAAGGCTCGAGAGATATCTAAAAAGATAAGACAAAGCCAGGAGAGAGAGGAGTAAGCACAATGTTACAGGACCCTCCACAGTTGTTAGAAGTGGGCCACAATCAGGCTCGAGGCTCTCAAGCACGCCATACGAAGAGAAAGCCTGACCAGCTGAATTATTCATCGGGTCCTTGAGATGAAAATGAGGAGGAGGCAGAAGAGGAAAAAGAAATTTACTCAGAACTGCAATATTCCTGGTAGCGGGAGAGAAACTTCTCCTTTGGGCCCTCTTAAAGAAGGCGTGATATGTTAGTGGCTTTTCTAGGTGATAACTATATATTTTCAGGTGTTCTTTATTTTAACAACCACTGTCTCCCTGTTTCACTCCTCTAACAGGTAGGATCAATTAGATTGAGAGTCTGAGGTTGGTAAAGTAAGGGAGGATCTATGTACGTGTGTGTGGTGTGGGTGTATACATGGAGGGTTATAAATGACAGTCTGCTTTCTTAGGACCACATCACGTGTTTCACAATAAAAAGAGGAGACTTTTTTTTTTTTTTTAAGATGAAAAACCAGAAAGTTCTCTTTACACAGACAATACTGAGAAGAGAGCCAAGAAGTTTCCTTCCCAACACAGAACCCCAGAGTTTCCATGTTCTCCAATCCTAGAAGCCAGGAAAAGCAAGAGAGGCATTTAGAGAAGGAAGGGGGTCAGAATCATTAAAGAATAACACAGATCATTTTAGGTTGGTTGGTCTTGTAATTAACAAGCATAAGATTTTGAACACAAAGAACACAATTTTACTTTTTGGCCGTTTCCAGGCACATCTTTTAGTAAGTATCTCTCTCTCTCATTCTCACACACACACACACACACACACACACACACACACACACACACGGGCACCAGCACACGTACCTTGTTAAGCCACTTCAGCCCAGGTATCGTATTCGAATTGATCTGTTCCTCCAGCCACGGGCGCATTCGCATCCTTTCCACTGGCATGGTACCCTTTGCAGAAGAGAAACACGGCATTAGGTAATTCTGCTAGTGACCGTCAGGTGTGACAAGTTCTACACCCCTGCCTGACCCTCTTCCACGTCCCCTTCCCCAAAAGCGCACAGCTGACGTGCACCGGGGATCGGAGGGCCAGGCCGGGCGTGAGGGGTCCCTGCCCGCTGGGGCACACTCAGTCCCAAGGAGCCGTCTCAGTGGGGCAATGGTTCGGGCTAAGCCTGCTCTCAGCTGAGAACGCCCCATGGGTGTAGGTGGTCTGAACTGGCAGAAAGCCTAGACACCCTAGTGACCTGGCCTAAAGAGAGACAGTCCTATCCCAACCCGGTCGTGTTGACAGCAGGCCCCTTCGGTGTATCAGGCGGGTATTGGGGGGACCAGAAGTTTACAAGTAACTTTTGGGTGTTACCTTTCCAAGAGCCCAGGGTGGACCCAGCAAAATAGTCGTGGGAAACAGTGCTCAGAACCAACTCATGGCTCTCAGGCATCGAGGTGACACAAATGTTCTGAACCACAAATGTTCATACTTGAATGTCGAAAAGCATCCATTCACTTGGTATGCTATCTACTTTCAGAGCCCAGCGGCATCTTTGGCCTGGCTTCAGCTCAGGGCTCAGGTTCATGTCCTCTCTTGCTCCCTCCCTCAAGGGTCTCCCTTCATGGCCACCTCCCTCTGACCCGAGATCCTCCTCCCTTTCCTTTAACTAACCTTCCCTCTGGAAATGGCTGCCTGGTCTAAACACGGTTCTTGTACCAGCCCGCCCACTGCCTCTCTTCCCTCCTTGCAGATACATTTCTAGATAGTCTTTCCCTTGGCCACTCAAATACATCCAGAGTTGTCACTGACGAAGGGCTGTCTAGCACTCATCTTCATCCTATTTGCATGTAATTTAAATGGGATGTGGGATTCAAAAGCAAAGATGAGGTCCATTCAAGCCTCCCCTCTACAAAACTTCATGGGCAGTGGGACATCATCTTCTTTTCAACCCTTAGCTGTGTCTTCCTTCTTTTACTCATTTCTTCCTTCAAAAATGAGCTCCGAAAATTCTATTGGGATGAACTTGGGTTGCAAAGATCAAAGTCTCGGTCACTCTCTCTTCTAGCTTGCAGGAAACTTCTCTCCCGTCTGTGCCTCCCCCAGCTCATGCCAGCGTGCGAGCATCACTATGTGAACCATGTATGACCACAGCCTTGGCCTCGAGAGCCTGATGACATTCTAGAACTCGACTCTAGAACCTGCACATCTCTCCCAGTTCAGATCTGTTGCAGGTGCCTCCTCAGAATCCTTGCTCACACGACGCTCTCTGCTCCTCCTTCCCAGGCTCTGCCTCTCCTCCCCCATCCTCCAAGACCCAATTTCTGCCGTCCTTCTCCATAGGCCTTCCCAGACCACTCCAGCCTGAAGAAATTCTCCTCTTGGACTTCCCCAACGGTCACTGATCTTACATGGCTCATTTGAAAATCAAACATTGCTTGAGAGCAGACATGCCATGCTGTCTTTATTCTGTTCCGACTCTTGCCTGAATTATAAACTCTTCCACTGTGTACACCTCTCTTCCTAACCAAACTGTTAAGTTCTTTGAGAGCAGGAACTCTACCCCTTGTAGATCTTTTTATTCCTATAAAGCCCAAACGCTGTCTTCCACCCAGGAGATATTCAAACAAGATCCAGGCCAGTTCTGAAGGTCAGCCAAGCTGGGCTGCCATTGCCGGTTGGCCTTGTCCACATATGTGGAGGCTTAAGGCCACCATTCTTTGAGATAAGTAACAGGAAGCTCAGGGACCCCAGGGCCTCCGCCCCCGGCACCGCTCCTCTGAGTGGTTTGCAAGTCATTCTAGTCCCTCGTGCATTCAATCCACCTTTTCAAGATCATTTGTTGAAAACAATATTCCAGGAACAGGAAAAGGCAAGATATCCTCTAGTATCTAAAAACTCCTAGTCTAATAGGGGACAGGAAGGAAGAGATGACCATACCACACGAAGAGTCCTGCGTACAGAACAATACTAGAAAGCAGTTGGCAACAGGGAGGGTGCCAGAGACAGGGCCTGGAAAGCCATGCCTCGGGATTGTGTTCATCATCCCAAGACTGGAGGGGAAACTGAGGATTGATGAAAATGAATGATACAATCCATTTTGTGGACAGTAAAGGGAAGAGTGGATGCCAAAATCCAGTCCAGTACACCACAGCAATACACCATATTTAACGGGCACACAAATATTGACTTGGCAGGTCTAGGTGAGCCCTGTGATTCTCTACTTCTAATAAGCTCCAAAGTCCTTGGACCAGACTCTGAGGAGCAAGGCTCTAGATCGACTTCTATTTTTAATTACGAGCCACCTGCTCATCTGTGCTCTTCCTGAAGAGTCTGGTCATTCTGGCAGGCAGACCCCCTCCATTACGCTGAAAGTATCACGTTCTGTATCACCTGTCGGTCCATCCCTTATTTACATGCTGTGCCTTTCTAACAAGGACACAGCTCAGCCAAACCTCGTGCTCTCACTTACCTAGCCAAAATACCGTGGAAATCATACACATAAAAAATGTTCTAAATCTTGAGTCAGGACTGTCATTAATCATAAGCAGATTTTTAGGAAAAGCAAAGATAGCAAGTATCGCCTTATCGGAATAGGTTAAGCTCTGTTACAAAGGGCTTCTCTTATTTCAGGTTCTACGTTTCATCTTGTTTTAATTAAACACCTAGAACTTCCCCCAATATTACACACCGAAAAAAAAACTAATCCTTTTACATGAAGCTACTTCTTCCAATTATACTTGATCTTACAGCCTGGTCCTATGTCCCACACACTAAACAGGTAAAGAATGACCAGTGGTCTCGCCATATGACACAGAAGGAAACAGGTTCCATCTGACATAGGTCTCCCATGATTATCACAAGTTGAATGCACATCCTGACTTCTGCAGAAGAAAGCGAAGATGGAATTCTACACTGAGCCTAGCGCCAGAAACTCATCACTTAGTTTGATACAAAAAATAAATGAAATTTCCAAAGATTAAAAGGCTAGGAGGACAGTCACAGAGAGTCAGAGGCTAGATACTGAGAAAAGAGGCTTCCTTGGCATGCATTTTCTAGCTTCTGTCAATGAAATTCACGGTGACAGATGGGTCTTCCTTCTGGAAGGCAAGTTTCCCATGGGCACCCGGTTGCATGGGCCACAGGAAACTTGAACAGAGCTGGGAAAGGTGTGGAACAGGTTAAAAAAGACAAAGACGGGCGCCTGGGTGGCTCAGTGGGTTAAAGCCTCTGCCTTCAGCTCAGGTCGTGATCCCAGGGTCCTGGGATCGAGCCCCATGTCGGGCTCTCTGCTTAGCAGGGAGCCTGCTTCCTTCTCTCTCTCTCTCTCTGCCTGCCTCTCTGCCTACTTGTGATCTCTTTCTATCAAATAAATAAACAAAATCTTTAAAAAAAAAAAAAGACAAAGACATGCTATTTTTGGCAAGAGAATCATATTCCACCAGAAATCAAAGACACTCGTGTCCCAGTCCTGACCTTGTCATTACTGGCATGTTTCCTTGGGCTAGTCACCCACCCTCTGGTCTGCACTTCAATGATGTAGGAAAATGAGAGGTTTCAAAAAGATAATTTCTCAAGTGATCTACGACTCTACGAATTCTTTTGTGACATGAAGGCTCATAATCTGATTTACCTTTTGTGTAAGCTTCTATGCTTAAACACTGGGTTGTTTTTAAGAGTGAAATGCTTGGGGTGCACCTGGGTGGCTCAGTTGGTTAGGCCTCTGCCTTCAGCTCAGGTCGTGATCTCAGGGTCCTGGGATCGAGCCCCACATTGGGCTCTCTTCTTGGCAGGGAGCCTGCTTTCCCCTCTCTCTCTGCCTGTCTCTCTGCCTACTTGTGATCTCTGTCTGTCAAATAAATAACTAAAATCTTTAAGAAAAAAAAAAAAAAAGAGTGAAATGCTTGGGGCGCCAGGGTGGCTCAGTCAGTTAAGGGTCTGACTCTTGATTTCAGCTCAGGTCATGATCTTGGGGTCTTGGGATCAAGCCCCACATCCAGCTCCTCACTCAGCAGGGAGTCTGCTTAAGGATTCCCTCTCCCTCTCTTCCTGTCTCCCTCCTGATCGCATGTGCTCACTCTCTCTCTCTCAAATAAATAAGTAAATCTTTTTTTTTTTAAGTGAAATGCTGAAATTATGGCTCTTCAAGACTAAAATATGAAGCATCTACCCTCGAGCCCGACAAAGGCACTTTCTAAAATCACCTATCATCACTCCTTTGAGATGTGGGACTGGGATCATCTTTTAAAACCATGGCATCAGCCTCTACATCAGTTCAGTACACAGTGGGTATTTAGAATATTACTGGCACCGGTGTTGCTGCATGAACGCATGCAAGCTACTCCCCGAGACTCTTAGGAAGTGAACAGCGCCCCGTGAAGTTGACAATGGTAGGGTCATGCTCAGAGCCAGTAATGGCAGTCATGAATTTTAACCTAGTTAACTGAATTTTGGATCTTGGAATAGTAACAGCAATGGCTACTATTTACTGAGCACATACTATATGACAACCCATTAAAACCAGAGTTTTTCTGAGTTTCTTGTGTAATTTTTACAACCCTAGAAGGTAGGGACTTTAGTGTTCCATATTATAGATGACGGGATAGGTAAAGGAAGTGCTGAAAGGCAAGCTGCTAGTCAGTAGGAGAGCCAAGACTCTCATTCTGATCTCCCTGAAACGCCCAAGCTTCAGAAACCCTAACACCTGCTTTTTTCTTACTCTAGAAAGCACTCAGTTATGTTGGTCTTTTAACTCTTCTACTTTAACTGAGCCTTTCCCAACTCCTGTCTGTTTTGCATACCACTGACATATTAAATTTCCTAAAATACCACTTAAATCATGTTAATGTTCTGTTCCAGAGACTTCTAAACATCCCTGCTGGATTTAAGATAATAAAATCCTTGGCTGGGGGAGGCAGTGTGCTTTTGATAATGACACAATAGGTAATTCAGACCTAACTCT